GCTCACCCAGTCGTAGGTGTTGATGTCCACGTCCCTCTCCAGCAGCATGGTGACGATGTCGGTGTAGCCGCCCGTGCTGGCCAGGGACAGGGCGCTCTCCCGCTCCTTCGCCAGCGCGTGGGGGTCGGCGCCCTGGGGAGGGCAACCCCGGCGGGCGGAGGAGCCCTGCTGAGAGCTGGGTCCCCCACGGCCACGTCCCAACGGCCTCACGGGGCAGAGACAGCTCACGCGTTGCCAGTGACTTCTCCTTGGCAAAATCCTTACTGGGCATATTTTAATCACCATCAGACATCTCGGGTGAGGACTTAAAAGCCCTTCTCCAGTGTCACTAAACTGAGCCTGAGGGTTCCTGCTACTCAGCCCTTTTTCCCATCACAAGTTAACAGCGTTGCCAGCCCTGCACAGCATCCACCGTCTCTTTTGTTCAAAATTCCCCAGGCTACCTCCCCGTCCTCCGAGCCCTGCCAGCCAGGGGCCACTCCTGGACTTCGTTACCGCCTTTATCAATGTACCACCTCGTTTAATTTGGGTTCTGTTTGCCCCTTTTGATAATGCACCGCAATTCTGCTGCTAACACCGTAGCAAAGGCAGAGTTCGGCCAGTGCTCGTGAGGTTGCGAGCGCTCACTGATCACTGGACACGGGTGGGTGTGGGAGTGAGCTTTGGGGAGCAGCTTGATCCAGGGTGCAGGACGCTCTGGTTCCCGCTCACCCCCCAACAGTCCTCGACTGCGAGCCCAGCACTCAAGGACGACGCAGCAGTGAGTTCATTAACTGCAATGATACCTCGGTGAGCGCGCTTGCTGGCAGATTACAGGGCCCAAGTGATAAGCTTGATCTCAAATTACCAATAAGCAGATATTTAATTACAAACAGTTATTGCTAGCTGTGAGATAAGGCTCTTCACGCTCCTGACTTAGCTCACAGCCCAACGGGGAGTAGCATCCGACAGCGTCTGAGCCGTCAGCTCTGCCAACGTGTCCTGTTTGTTGCCATGGGAAGGACTGGCTGAGGTGGTACCAGGATGGTGCTGGACAATTTGGTGGCTACTGGGGTGGGAGATGGGAAGTCTGTTAAGGAGGTGCTGAGTGAGCGTGGCCTTACCCATTCCAGCAGGTGACGGACCGTTTCGATCTCTCCGAAGGCTGCGGCCCAGATCAGCGGCGTGAAACCCCTCTCGTCGGGTTTATTCACCAAGTTCTCGCCTGCACAAACGTGAGACATCGTTAACAGGAAGGGTAAAGCCCCCCTCTGCTCCCTGTCCCCCCCAGTAAACCCAACAAAGGCTTTCAGCTAAGCCAAGGGTTTATCAAGGATCTGGGTGGGGTAAGAACCCCAAGAAGAGCCACGTACCTTTCCGCAGATGCTCTTTCAGCTGGCTGAGCTCACCTTGGGCAGCAAGCTGGTGGATGGACAGCGCTGGGGGACAGAAAGAATCCACCCATCAGGGCAAATTTTCCCCAGCTCAGCACCCACCGTCTGTAGGTGGGTCCCTGCAAGGCTGGGGTGGTGAGGACTGGCCAGCCCCCCCAAAAACCCCCGATGGGTAACTAACACCCTTCTGCCGTGCAGCAGCAGGGACAGCCAGCCACGACGAGTGCTGAGAGCGACAGCGCTGCAGGGAGCAGCTGAGAGAGCAGCAGGAGATCGAGGGAGGCTCCAGCCCCGCTGTCCCTCTGCTCCCCTGCACCCCACATCCATCTGTGCTCCGGGGCACACAGCCTGCTCTTCCCAGCGGTACTCACTGTCCAGCGTGGCTGGGAGGGCTGAGACCTCGTTGCCTCGCTGCCTGTTCGTCAGCGTGTTCGAGTGCTTCAAGGGGAAGCCTGTTCCAGAGAGAGGAGAGAGTCAGGACACGTCTCCTCCGTGCACAGGGAGGAACTACGCTGTCTTGAGGCCAAGAGCTTCACGAAAGCTCAGGTCTCATGCACCTTATCTGAAGCTGTTCCCTCCTGTCCCTGGCAAAAACCAAGCCTTGCAAAGAAAGGAATTATTCCTCTGCAAGTCAAGAGGGGGGAGACTGGGGTTTGACCAGTGCGCAGCGACCAACAGCTGAGCGGGGAAGATAAAACCGCCTGAACAGCTGCCCAAGGAGGGGCAGGGTCCATCTGGGGCACGGCGGGAAGCAGGGATCTGGCCTTAATGGCATAATTGCAAACGATACACCGCAGAGCACAGCCTGGGGGATGCACTCGGGTTCATCCTCGTTATTTCCTACCCATCAAGAGCTCCACTTGGAAATCTCAATGTGTTTTCAACAAGCGATTCGCAGTTTAATTAGGAAAGTATATGAAAAAGAGTTTGCCATCTCGGTTCCACTGCGTGGAGCTGCAGCGACCTCTCACTGCTGGCACAAGTCATCACCAAGGTCTGGATCTGGACTCGGCCTTGCCACATTATGGGAGGGATTGGCAGCAGTAAAAGACTTTTTTCCTAGGTGCCTTTGTGGGATGAGAGACCCCGATGATCTCTCCCACGCCTGCCTCCCACTGGGGCCGCGCCTGAGCATCTGTGAGCACCAAGCTCTGCAACACTCACTGTCAAGGGCCGGGAGCTCCGTGCTCCTCCGCGCGTCCATCGAGGCAGTCGAGGGCTTCGGGAGAGCGTCTGCTCCACCTACAAAGCCAGGGCGGCCATTAGAGACCTCGGTTCTGCTTGTTGGGCAGCAGGCTGGGCTCCACACACGGCACACCGAGACCCAACGGCTATGGCAAGCACCCCGGACCCCAGGGCAGAGGGAGAGTTGATGCCAGTTCACAGGGGGACGGACGCTGTGGGATCCTGGATCCGTCTTGGCTCCCACTGCCCTGCCACCCCTCAGCACTCACCATCCCCGTGGTCCAAGCGTGGCATCTCCTGGTCCGGCCGCAGATGCCCCAGGAGGGCACCGCTGTCCCCCATGTCCCTGGTCCCAGCCAGCTCCTCTGTGGCTGCAGCTCCATTTTCACCCTCTTTTGGGAGCTCCTGGGTGTCCCCGTTGTCCGGGGGGGTCTCCACGAGACGAGCG